GAAGTTAGCAACCCAATCAGGGCTCTGGTGCACTGGCCTTGGGGCGTGCGGTCCGTCGTGCAGACCCCGCCTCCCTGGAAATAAAATATATTTTTTAAGAAATAATTTCAGAAAGAAAATAAAATAAAAACTGGTGAAACACAGGAGGCAACACATCAACGAAATAAATTGTGTAAAATTAAATCGTGATGCAACGTGCTAATTCCAGGTGTGTTTACACTGTCAAAGGTGCAGCTCAGGAAGTATTATGCATATGAGAAATGACAATCAGAACACAAGGTAAGTTGGTTATTACAAATTAGTGGTGTGAGAGAGTCAATATGCATATGGGACAGAATGTAAAAAGGACAAATCCAGACAGAGAAAGTGGAGATTGTGACATTCATGATTTTTTATTGGTATTGTTTAAATAAAATTATAGTGAGTTGAATTATTGAATAGTGTCACTCTTAATTTTCCAAGTCTGATGTGTTGGTCCGGAGATGGTAACGGGCCGAGTTCCCTCCGCTCTCTATCCTGCATACAGGTTCAGGTGAATAATGAGGTGAGGAGATGGTAATGAAAATGAGTAGGGATGATGATGATGATGATGATGATACAACACGTCAAGCTCGGCCTTCCCAATGTGAATTTAAGAGGTAAGTGATACATTTGAAATTGGTAAAAGTCCATGGTGCCGTATGAGTTATGTATAAGGTTGTAATAACATGTTGAATAACTATGATGTAATGTGTTGTGAATTATCTTGTGTGTGATGTGCTGTAATTAATCTATGTGTCATGTAGGTCTGAAATTAAGTTGTCCAGCTCCCCTAGCCAGTGGGAGAAGATAGCACTGGCTGTCTCTGTAGTCCACTGTATGTTGTCAGTTTGTGTTATGAAATCCTGGTCCGGGAAAGCTGAGAAATGTGTATAGTGTTTTATTATGTGATTATTGATTATTGCCAGATTGTGCTGTTCTATTGCTGGTAGATGTGGTGAATGGTTGATAATAGGAACGATTATGGAAGCATTAGGGAAGGCCGAGCAAGCCTTGTTGACCACAGTTCTGAGCTGTTTCACAGAGGTGTTGTGGGGATCCTGAGCCCTGTTATTTAGGTCCACCGAGAGGATCAGCACTTTTGGGTTTCTGTTAATTGGTGTTTTTTCCAGAATCTTCCAGAAATGATAGAAGGAGGCTCCCGGGTAGCTGTCAGCCTGGACAAAAGGGTGGTTAAATTTGGGGATTCTGTGTATGTTTGAATCCCCCAGTATGGCAATTGGTTTATTAATTTTGAATTCCCAGTCCCGCAGCTTGCGGTTGTCTCTGGCCTGATGGTAAGTGGGGTCAGAGGCTGTGTCTGCGCATGCGCCCCGGTGGGGAGAGCCCCTCGGCTCGGTACGTCTCCCCGGCAGGTGTATTTTTGGAATGGGTGAGGAAAGATCAGAGTTGGAATAGTAGTCTGTCATGTTGACTTTTTGACCTAAATTACTCATCATTTCATTTTTCCTCACAGATTCTGTGTTACACCGGGGAGCCGCCTCTGCCTCAGTGGGTGCGCTCTCCCCACCCTGATGTGATCTGGGCGCGGGCGCCGGGAGATGGAAGGTGCCGTTTAATACTGACCCCAGGCCAGACTCTGCATGAACGCAGGTAGGTGTTGGGGTGCTACTGCGGGACTGGGAGCCCTGTGTGTCATTATTGTTTTTTTGAGTAATTATGTTTGTTACTCCAGGCTGACAGCAGTCCTCGGGAGCCATGGCATTCACCGTCCTCTGGGGGCAGCGCCTGTGGGGGGAAGTAGGAGGTGAGTGGTAGTCTGGGACTGGGGTGTTGTCCAGAGGCTGTGGAGAGATGTGGTTAGGCTGAGGAAAAGAGGGCTCCGTGTTAGGCAGGTGAGGAGGGAGGGGAAAAGAAAAATCCTCATCTGAATCACAATATTTCAGGGGGGAGGAAGGGTTAGAAAGAGTGGCTGTGGTGAAGAGCAGATCATGTGCAAATGTAATTGTGTCTGGATCGATTCTGTTGCCGTAGCGTCTAAGAGCCCATTGTGTGGCTACTGTAAACGCCAACTCGTTGCCAGGGGTGTTAAGGAGATGTGTGATTATGTCTTTGTAATGTGCTAATAAAATGTGCATGTTTTGCCATAACCAAGTGAGTGTGTTTTCTTTGAGTGTGTCTGTTGTGTTTTGTGATGGAGAGGATGGTTTTATGAAGCTGGCCAGTTGGAGTGTTTTGCGTAACATCCCTTTAGGAATTTCGCCCTCCTCAAAAAGCCTGCTGTATGTTGTTGTGATGATGTGTGGCTTGTATAAGTTTTAAGTGATGTTTAGCTGCAAAACGGGTGGATGTGTCCAGTGCCTGTTTAATTGGTGTGTGTGTGTTCGTATGTGCGGTGTTGTTTGTGCCGTGTGTGCTGCTGTGTCTGCTTTCCGGTCCGCTCTGTGTGTGGGGAGAAAAAGAAAAAGAGAGAGAGGGAGGGGTCCTGTAAGTTGCAGCCGCGGGTCTGCCTGCTCCCCCCCGACCCCGCTCGTGTCGGGGTCCGCTGCCCTCCGCCCTGTGTGCACCCGTGTGTGTGTGTGACCCACCTGCGTCCATCTCGCTGCATGCGGTTGTTGCGGTTTCTGCGTCATGTCGTTCCGTGTTTCCGGGTTCTCTGTGGAGTAGACTGGGTGGAAAAAGTCTTATTTCTTTTTAATCCAACAGAGGAGGAAGCCGACAGTTGCGGGAGAGGAGGATGAAGCGCTCAGGTAGGCAAGGTGTTCACACCGGGTGCTATTAAAACGTAACTTTTAATGATTTAAATTTAAAAAACCAACGAGGGTCCTGGTTCCGAATAATAAAGAGACTAATTAAAAAGTTTAAGGAGCGGCAGCGGCTCCGCTGACAGAGCAGGATCCCCTGACGTTTCGTGCCTCGCCGGCACTTCTTCAGAGGGGAAATGAAAGGGGGAAAGGGTTAGGGTTAGGGTTAGGGTTAGGGTTACCTGCTGGAGGGCCTGGTGCGGTGGAACGAGAATCGAGGCAGGGCGGCAGTTGAGGGAGGACAGAGGTCGGCGCTGCGTTGCTACAGTGCCCAGCTGCAGCACAGCTTCGACCAGCTGACCCAAGAGCTTCTTGGGCTCACGCTGGTCGACACTTACACCGTGCCCAGGGAGTACACAGGTAAGTCATAAATCTGTCTGAGGTAACGGTAACGTTTAACACCTGTCTTAGGTGTCTGTCATTTAACATCTCCTGACACTCCAGGGACTGATGAGGAGGAAGCGGGGGGGGGGCAGTGATGAAGGGTTCGAGGAGGAGGAGGAGGAGGAGGAAGAGGAGCCAGAGGAGATTCGTCTCCTCGAACACCACAGCGCTCTCCTTCAGTCCTCAAACCTCACCCGCCCCCCCCCGCTTGGACCTAATGGAGGTGCAGCAGGCTGAGGAGGAGGACGTTATCGGGCCAGACGGTCGAGGCAGCTACCAGCACGTCGTGGCCCTGGCCCAGGCCCTCGTGGAACTGCGCCACCGCCGCTACGTCACTCCCAGGCAAGCCAGAGAGGTCACCGCTCTCTGGCTGAAATTGAGTGACTGGGACAAGGCGGCGGTCACATTCCCCCCCCGTCACCAGGACCGGCTCGTCCAGGGCCGATTCAGGACCACCCAGCGGCACGCTCACACACCAGGGGTGGATAGTGTGAAGCGGTAAGCAGTCACAATAAATTTCCAAGCTTTGTTTGGTTCTTGTTCTGTGCTGTCAGTCACTAACTAACTAACTCACTCTCTCTCTCTCTCTCTCTCTCTCTCTCTCTCTCTCTCTCTCTCTCTGTGTGTGTCAATGTAGTGCGGTCCTGGGCAAGGGGGCGGGAGCGGCGCAGTCTCCCGATGTGTCGAGGCTTGTGGAGGCTGTCCTGCTGGACCTCAGCATCCTCCACTGCAGTGAGGGGAGGACGATTGCCGGGGTCCGCATTCATCGCTGGAGTGCCGTCATGAGGGACTATCAAACAATTCGAGAGAATGTTTATAGTTGTGCAGCCCTCATGCAGGCACCCGCATCCAGCTGTATGAGGTCAATCAGCGGACCCTGACGCAATGTTAAGACCTGATCCTTTCTCTCACATCTGATCTGAAGTGGCATTGTGTGTGTGTGTGTGTGTGTGTGTGTGAGAGTGTGTGTGTGTGTGTGTGTGTGTGTGTGTGTGTGTGTGTGTGTGATGTCATGATTACTAATGTGCATTTGTTACATTCTGTTTTTTAAGGCACACCAAGAGGAGCAAGGCGATGATGAGGGACACCATCGCCATTGCAGTCCCGGGGCCCAGCGCTTCCCAGACTGCAGCGGAGCCTCGCCTGCCCCACGGACTGTGCTGCAGCAGCCTGAGCAGCCAGACCAGCCCCTCCAGCACCGCCTGCCTGCGGACGCTTCTGGTCTGGCTGCCACCATCAGAGGGCCGCTGGCCCCGGAGCGATACGACCTCATCGTCGCCAGCTCCTCAACTGCCACCACCTCCTCCTCCTCCTCCTCCTCAGCCACCCCACAAGCCTCCACCAGTGTCAGCGCGGACGCCGTCCGTCCACCAGTGCCAGCGCAGACGCCGTCCCGTCCGCCAGCGCAGAGGCAGGTGTCACCCCCTCCACAGCCACAGCTGCCACTGCTCCACCAGTGTCTAGAAACACTGCCTGGAGGCGCAAGCTCCAGGAGGAGAAAGAGCGTCGTGCCCGGGAGCTGGGAGAATATATGAAACCAGCAAAGAAGGTCTCCCACTTCAACTGCAGGCACTGTGGCCAACCAAAGACGCGGGCGTTTGGCCACAGCCGCTACAAGACGGAGACCTTCTGCTCCCGGGCCGACGGGAAAGGGAGAACTGTGGAGCAGTGGCTGGCAGAGGTGAAGGGGCGTGATGGTGCAGCCCCCCTCCCTGAGCGAACACTTTGTGTGTGTGTGTGTGTGTGAGTGTGTGATGGGGCAGCTCCCCCTCCCTGAGCGAACACTTTGTTTGTGTGTGTGTGTGTGAGTGTGTGTGATGGGGCAGCTCCCCCTCCCTGAGCGAACACTTTGTGTGTGTGTGTGTGAGTGTGTGTGATGGGGCAGCTCCCCTCCCTGAGCGAACACTTTGTTTGTGTGTGTGTGTGTTTGGGAGGGAGGGATTTGTAAATATTGTGTATATAGTGTATTTAGTTAGTCAGTTGTGTTTGTTAAATTAATATTATGTATATAGTTGTCATATATAAGTTATACCTTTTTATTTGTCCCACAATGGGCAAATTCCAATATCTATATAGTTGTATATAGTTGTCTTAATTGTTTTAGTTTAAATAAACTTTTCTTTTTTTAAACCAATGCTTTCTCCTGCTTCTTTCTGCCTTTAAGAAATTAAATAAATATAGGGAAGACTAGGTATCTAGAATAGGTGCCTGATATCAGTAAATCCCCACAAGTTACAGTCACAATACATCATTCCCTCTCCTCACTTGAAACTAGGGTCAAGGGGTCAACCAGGTCAGGTTCAAAGGCTTACTTAGAGACTAGGTGAGAATTGGCCTTTTACAAGTGGACATTGTAAAACAACAGGGGGTGCCGAGGGGCCTTCACTTCTCACCTCCTGGCTTCCTGATTAAAACAACAGGGGGGCTCTTATCTCCTGCGAGAACTTGGGGGTTTGACCGGACTGAGAGAGGGCCGAACTGGTAGGTGTGTCTCCCCCAAGAGGGGTTTCAAAAAAAAGGCAAAAAACAGACAGTCAATTCATTCAAGCATTTTATTTGGACAGAATGGAAGGCAGAAAAGCAAAGCGAAAAACCAGACATGTCACTTCATTAGGTTTGTTACAAATACACTTTTTAAAACTACATATGTGTTTCTATGTACCTTGACTAACAGAGTTCTGTATTGTATTTTATATTTTAGGGGACTACGACTGCACATCCTCCTCATCCTCCTCCTCCTCAGCCTCCTCATCCTCCTCGTCATCCTCCTCCTCCTCCAGCTCCTCTCCTCGACAGCTTCAGGCAGCAGAGCCAGTGGCGGGGACCAGCAAGCCCACCCGTTGCACTGTCTACAGGCGCAAAATTAAAGCGGCAAGGGCCAATACTTTTGTGCTGTGAAAGAGGGCCCTGGAGGACGCACAGTGCAAGAGTGGACCAGGGAACAGCTTGGCCCTGGTGAGCTGCAGAAGCTCCCCAGAACAACAGCCTGGAACCTCAAATGAAGGTATGAGAAACCAGAGAAACCGGGGGGGGAAAGTGAGGAAGCCCCACAAACTGAGGATCTGCCAGCTCTGTGGCCAGCCACAGCAGAAAGACTTTGGCCACAGCCAATATGGGGGAGAGCACTTCTGTGCTCTTTATGAAGGGAAGACTGTGGAGCTGTGGCTGGCTGAGAAGAGGTCAAAAAAACATTAAAATTATCCAACTGTACTGTATCATCCAAGCACCTTATATGTTTCATCTGTTCATTGCACCTTATATTTTTTATTTTTACTTTGGACTGCATTATACTGGTTATTTATACATTTTTTATATTGCATTCTATATTGCTTTTTTTGATGTGTGTGTGTGTGTGTGTGTGTGTGTGTGTGTGTGTTTGTTGTTACTGTGTGTAATGCTGCTTCTACACTGCAATTTCCCTGCTTATGTTATACATTTTTAACCTTTCTAATAAACATTTAATTGATTAAATCCTTGTCTTCTCTATTTAAATATTTTTTAACTTAACTTTTTAAACCTGGAGCCATTCATGAGGCCAAAACCATTCAAATATTAATGTACATTTAACCAAACAAACCTGGAGCCATTCATGAGGCCAAAACCATTCAAATATTAATGTACATTTAACCAAACAGGTCTCGTCGCTTTAAATGCGTGCGGGGCCTTTAATTCTCCGTGTCGCCGCCGTATGATAAGTAGCCATGTGCTCGGGATGACGTAGGACAACAGCTTTTGACTGACACATGTCGAGAGAAGGGGGGGAAAGGGGGGGATCGTTCCAATTCTTTGGCGTTATAATCGGGAGAAATAGAAGGAGAGGCTCTTTGGGGCTGCTTTTTATCACACGAGCCCGGGGAAATGCGGCCGACCCGGGGGCCGGGGGGGCCGGCTGCGCGCGCCGCCCTCGGCGCTCCGCACGGCTCCCTTGCTTCTTCGCGCAATATGACCAGCAATGGTCTCTGTATGCCAGCCAATGAGCAGCAGCCAGTGCTGTCGAGCGTTAGTCGAACGTTGTCAGCTCTGGGCCAATGAGCAGCCAGTGCTGTCGAGCGCTAGTCGAGCGTTGTCAGCTCTGGGCCAATCAGCAGCTCGGATTGTCGAGCGTTAGTCGAGCGTTAGACGTTAACGCCCACCTCTTAACCTCACCGGCTGCCGTATGCGACGGACAGAAATCCCCGTGTGTATTTGAGAGAGCAGTGAGATCTGAGAGAGTGAGTAAAACCAAAATAAATAGAATATTAATGTACTGATATAACACAGCGACCCCACTGTACTGTTACGATGTACTGAATGGAGTTAATGTTTTATTACGTTCTGCCGGCACTCTCTGGTTAGCTTATGCTAATATTGAACGTGGACGTCAGGCGTCCTGTTTACACATTTAAACCATATTTATACTTCGAATTTCGACTCCAAACTGTAGTAACTACATCTACAGGGTCTAAGGAAGATAATCAGGTAGTCTGTTTATAGATTAAATACATTGTGAGAGATCGCCAGCCCTCAGAAAAGTAGTAACTAAAATGACCCCATTCACCTCCTTGTTTTTAGTTAGCAAAATCGCGGCTGGTCTGTTTACACATTTAAACCATATTTACACTTCAAATTTTGACTCCACATCGTTGTACCAGCATCCCAAGGGTCTTAAGAAGTGAGCCAAGTTGTCTCATCACGTTTTTAAAGCGTTTCCAGAGATCGTCAGCTCATCACAGCAGTGGCTAAATGCTCATTCATTTCCAACGCTTAGCATGCTAATAGCGATTTATATGCTAACGCATCTAAAGCACAGTTAAACTTTAAATATCAACTCCACACAATAGCAGTACAACATCCTAGGTCTCAACAAGTAAACACAGTATGGGAATACTATTTTAAACACATTTCACCGATCGGTAATGACATCGGCGGCAGTGCTAACTTACGCTAACGTTACATTGGCTCGCTGTTTCACTGCTAACTGATTACTGTATAATATATAAGCTGCCTTTTCGCTGTAGCACATAATCTGTTTAAAGATTAAATACATTTTGAGAGATCGCCATTATGTAATGTAATGTAACGTAGCTGTAGCTAGGATGCTACAGTATAATTACAACATGTGACGATCTCTGAAAACAAAATTAAAGTATGAAAAGACTATACAGTTAATGTCCTTAGAGCCTTAAGGTTATAATATCACCAGGTGAAATCAAAAGATAAAGTTTAAGTGTATGTTTTATACATTAACAATAAGCCTGTTTGTTTAATGGCTGCCAATGCATAGGGGGCTAACCCTGGGCTCATTATTTACCTGTTGTGTCACGTGATGTTAGTTTGTTAACGGTAATGTTTCAATAGTGAATGTGAAGTACCAGTATATCATTAATCTTATGTGTGATATTCCTGGTAATATAGCAGTTAATATGTAGTTTAACCTGTAATGCTCCTTTAATGCTGTGCTGTGTCATTTCTTGTCATTGTAGAAATGGTTTTTGCAAAACTGCAATTCACAGCCTCGCAGCAGCTTCTCCTGCGGGCCTCTGGTGAGGCGGTGGCCTACATCGCCGCCAAGGGGCCACGCGGGGCCGCCGCTGCTGCGAGGGCCAAGAAGCCGGAGGAGGTGGAGAAGGAGGCACAAGCCCACGTCGTCTCCACGGGCGGTGACCCTGGGAACCACATGCTGGTGCTGAGCTGCCACAGCATCCAGTTTGGGAAGTACCAGGGTCAAACGTTCCGTTGGCTCCTGGAGAACGACGTGGGCTACACGGTACAGTTGGTCGCCAGCCACCAGCGGGAGCGGGAGAAGAGTGCCTCCGACAGCCCCCTTATGGCCAACAAGGACGCTCTCGCCCAGTACTCGTGCACCCACCCGGAGTTCGCTGAACACATAAGATTCCACCGGGCGCACGAGGAGGCCCGGGCTCGTGCCAGTCAGCCCGGGTGTGAGGGCGAGGCCCTTGTTGGCTTTGGGAAGTTTAAAGAGGACACCCTGAAGGACCTGTACGAGTCCTCTGATAAGGACCGCCAAGGGTGAGTGATTGGTGCTACACACAATGGATTGTGAATTGCTGTATGTCATTATTGTTCACTAATGTGATGCCGTCCATGTTGTAGATTTGTCAAGTGGCTTCGAGGGAAGACACTGCACCCTGGGACTGCAATGGACGCCGCCAGGAAGTACATCCTGGGCCGAGACGCGAAGCGGTCGGCAGAGGCGGCAGCTGCGGCTGCTACCCCCCCTCCACCCACCAGCAGCCGCAGCATCAGCAGCAGCGCCCCCACCACCACCAGCAGTGGCCCCAGCAAGGCCGCTGCTTCCACCGCGCTGTAGCCACACAAGCCGATCGCCTCCAAGATCGCCGCCGGCGTCCCATGGGCCCAGGTGAGCTGCAGGCCAAGGTCAGGAAGCTGATGACCACACCTGCACAGCCTGCAGTTCGAGGTAGATCTCTTTCTTTCTCTTTAACACAACAGAGTACAGTTCACTGTACATGATTTACTAACCATTGCCCAACCCCCCCCATAGCGGTGTCTACATCCTTCAGAGACCAGCGCCCCTCGGTTCCGCCGCCGCCCCACGCCACAGAGGTGACGGACGAGGAACTGGTCCAGATGGCCACTGACATAGAAACAGGTAACTGGCACCAAACTGGACGTGTCACATTTGCCATCAATATATATTCTTCTGTCAGTGTGTTTGTATTAACTGTAATTGTTTCATTT